AAAAAAAAAAAAGAAAGAAAAGCAACAGGCCTGATTTTGATTTCATTTATACCAGTATCCCTTCAGATTGGCTCCATTAGAGTGCATTAGTGTTAATATTTGAAACCCAACTACTGAGCTAATATCCTTCTTTTTAAATGCATGCAATGCCAATACTTTGATGTAGCCATTGCTCCTCTTCTATCTTATGATTCTTTGAACTTCCATTAGGCTCATCTACCCTCATACCCACTCAAACCTACTGGCAAACCTTTACTGTTATATAATAAGGTAGGAGGAGAGGGGGTGAAGACGTAGGAACATGACTGTTGGCTTCCAAAGTACATACTGTTTTTTGATAGACATAAATAATAATAGAATTTGTCTTAATAAAGGATTATTTCTTATGCAATATATCACTCAAGTGTCTGGGTAAGGATTGTTCAGTCCCCATTTCTGAATGGAGACTAAAAAGCTTTCTCTCTGAACTAATGTCTAATAAATTGGTTTTGACAAGATTTTGTAATAATAGGTACTGAATCTGAATTCTTCCAGCAGTCTCCTAAGACTGTCACGTAGACTTTAAAAGTTTCTCTTGCCATTCCCATTATTCTCTTTAATTCCAGATGTCCAGGAAGAGCACACAGCTCTTTCTTAGCTCTTCCTGGATGGAAGAGCACACACCAACAGCAGATGCTTCCTCAGCCTGACAAAGGGTTTTTAAACCTGAAAGCTTGCTAAGAAAAATTTTCCCAACTATTTAAGTTTGTCTAATAAAAGATATTAGATTCACCCAAAGAACCTTGTCTGCCTCTGTCCTTAGACCAACACGGCTACATGCTACACCCCTGTAATATGGAAGAGATCAAACTGAAGCACTTCATGCCTTAGAGTGTGTGCACACCCCGAGCAAGCAAACTTTGAAATGCACAGGTTCAGGTCCTGTTTGAAAAACAGTCAGATTTATGGGTTCTGAAGAGCTATACCTCCAAAGATGAGGAGGATTCAAGGTAAATTGAAGGGGACGGATGTGAAGAACATCTAGAGGAGACAATGGGTTGGTGGTGATTTTTAAAACAGGCCAACCCTGATGGATCATTTTAGTATGAGAAGTAACTGGTTTATGTTGTACTGTATTGATTTCAGTATGTACTAAGATTGAAAAATAACATATTATGTATATAGCCAGTATTTTATGGATAATTTATAACTTCATGCCTTAAGTATATATATCTTCGTATTTAGAAACGCCTTCATTTCTCTTTGTTCAATCTGTGCACATGCAGTATGATGCCTCACATTTTAGCTGTTTGAATGACTTCAGTGCAAATCAAAAGTGCCTGTATGTTTTTAAATGATTGCAAATCTTTTGTTTCCTGTTCAGCTAACTGAAAGGGAGAATGTATTTTAAATACGCTCTCAAATGCATGCAGAGCTGAAAAGAAGCAAGAGGAACTGCAGTGCGGAAAGGCTATATATTACAGTAAATAAGATATTGGAAGTGGGTGAGGGGGAGGTTTATAGTGAATGTACCATCTCAGCTACAACTCCAGGAGGACCATGGCAACCCCTACAAAGAATCCTACTATGAAAGCAAAGTGCTTTTTTATTGGCCATTGTTACTCAAATAATTAAATTTAATGATGGGTCTAGAATCTGAACTGTTACATGTTTAAAATATTGTTTTGGTGGGAGTCATGAACCAAAATACCCAAGAAGAAAGAAAAGTCTCCCACGCTTCTAATGAATTGGATTTAATTAGCAGCAAGAAAAATGCTTTTATTTGTTGCACCATTGCAAGGTGCATCAAAAGATTAAATATTGGGCTAAAAAACACTTCGTAAAAAGGGAAGAAAATGAATAAAATATAAATATATGCAGCTCTAGCTATACAAGCAGCCCAGAATTAGTGACTTAAGGTAAGATTTTCAAGAATGACTGAGACACTTTTTCTCCTAAGACTGCAGCCACAAAGGGGTTTGAGTATCTAATTGACCCTTTAGGTGCCTAAACCAAAATTTTAGATCCTTAAATCTCCTGTTCAGCTGTCACCTACCTCTAAAGTCACCTAAATGGCCAAGATACTCAGTTTTTTACCAGTTTCATTTAGGATCATAGAAAGTTAGGGTTGGAAGGGACCTCAGGAGGTCATCTAGTCCAACCCCGTGCTCAAAAGCAGGACCATCCCCACCTAGATCATCCCAGCCAAAGCTTTGTCTAGCTGGGTCTTAAAAACTGCGAAGGATAAAGATTCCACAACTGCTCTGGGTAGCCTGTTCCAGTGTTTTATTACCCTCCTAGTGAGAAAATTCTTCCTAATATCTAACCTAAACTTCCCTTGCTGCAGCTTGAGCCCATTGCTCCTTATTCTGTCATCTGCCACCACTGAGGTATTGTTCCTGCAGGTAGTTGAAGGCTGCTATTAAGTCCCTTCAGTCTCCTTTTCTCTAGACTAAATATAGCCAGTTTACTCAGTCTTTCCTCATCAGTCATGTGCTCCAGCCCCCTCACCATTTTTGTTCCCCTCTGCTTGACTGTGCTGAATAGAGGGGAATAATCACTTACCTTGACCTACTGGGAACACACCTACCAGTTCAGCCCAGAATGCCATTAGCTTTCTTAGCAGCAACGTCACACTGCTGATTCATATGCAACTTATTGTCCACTGTAAACCCCCAGGTCCTTTTCTGCAGAGCTGCTGCCCAGTCAGTCAGCCCCCAGCCTGTACCAGTGTATGGGATTTTTCCGTCCTAAGTGCAGGACTTTGCAGTTCTCCTTGTTGAACCTCATGAGATTTCTTTTCGCCCAATACTCCACTTTGTCTAGGTCAGTCTGAATCCTAGCCCAACCCTCCAGTGTATACTACCCCTAGCTTGGTGTCATCTACAATGTTGCTGAGGGTGCACTCTATGCCATCTTCCAGGCCACTGACAAAGACATTGAATAAAACCAGCACCAGGAGGACTGACCCCTGGGGCACTCCACTGATAACAGCTGCCAACTAAACATCAAGCCATTACTACCCTCTGAGCCCAATGCTCCAGCCAGTTTTCTATCCACTTTACAATCCATTCATCCAGTCTATATCTCCTTAGCTTGCCTATGAGAATGTTGTGGGAGACTGTATCAAAAGCCTTGCTAAAATCAAGGTATACCACATCCACCAGTCTCCCCACATCCACAGAGCCAGTCATCTCATCATAGAAAGTAAGGGACCCACACTTTCCGTGATCTTCCTCTTGCTACCAACGTACTTGTAGAAAATCCTTACATATTCTTTGGGTCACCAAGAGAATGAGAAAGACTCTGTGGCCTGGGTTCCAAGACATGGTCCAAAGAATATATTTATAGGTTTACCACACCTTTTTCTTGGCATTTCATACTGAGTAACTAAGGTGGCTCTATGCTCAGCATGCTGACTTCTGTGGATCCCATTCATGGGTTCTAATTGGCCCTGTATATTGTTACAGGGAGCCTGGGTGCTTAACACTGGACATTTGCATTCTACTAAATGACAGGATACTTTAGAGTTAGACACTACTACACTGAACCAAGTCCCCTTGCAGTGTGTCTATACTGTGTCCCCAGTGTCCTGGCAAGGATGCTTCTGAATATTTCCCACCCACCTGCTCCACTGCATACACTAACCCTAGGAATGCAGCAGTGAAAGTGCTTCACGGGTTCCAGCACACCTCAGACAAGTCTGGAAACAACAGGGGACAGTGTGTGTGTGTGTGTCTTCATAAAAAATTATCCTTTGCTTAAATGTTTACATGGAGAATCCAGGTGCCTCTTCCCTTTAATATTTTTTGGCCATAATTTTCAAATTTTTGTGGTACAACTTCAGAAAAACAAGGGTCTTGTGTGAGATGCATTGTTGTCCAAAGGAAACAAAACTCATGGCAGAGGTGATATCTTTTATTAGACCAAATAGATATTTGCAAAAAACATCTTTATTTGCAAGCTTTTGGGCACAGGCACCCTTCATTAGGTATAGGAGATTGCAAAAATTGTAAGACTTCTCCTAGGTAGAAATGAAAATTCATTATTTCACAGGAGAGCTTCAAATGATTTAATAGATTTCATAGACCTTAGGGCTGGAAGGGACCTCAGAAGATCATTGAGTCCAACCCCCTGCCCCAGGGACAGGAAGTCAGCTGGGGCCAAAGGATTCCAGCAAGATAAATGTCCAAATGTCTCTTAAAGTAGTCCAGAGTAGGTGCTTGCACCACCTCTTGCAGCAGTCTGTTCCAGGCCTTGGGGGCTTGGACAGTAAAGAAGTTTTTCCATAAGTCAAGCCTGAAACAGTCTTAGAGCAGTTTGTGATCGTTTGACCTTGTCATCCTTTGGGGAGCTTTGGAGAACAGGTGTTCCACCTGATTCTGATGTGCACCCCTTATATACTTATAGGCCACCACCAGGTCCCCCCTGAGCCTGCGCTTATCCAGGCTGAAGAGTCCCATGGCTCTCAGCCTCTCATCATAAGGCCTGTTCTCCTGCCCTCTGATCAAGTGCATGGCTTTCCTCTGGATTCTCTCAAGCTTCTCCACATCCTTTTTAAACTGTGGAGCCCAGAATTGGATGCAGTACTCCAGCTGCAGCCTCACCAAGGCAGAGTACAGTAGGAAGATGACATCTTGGGATTTGCTAGAGAAGCATCTTTGATGGTAAGCCAGTTTTGCTTGCTTTACCAGCTGCAACATCACATTGGTGGCTCATATTCATCTTCTGGTCAATCATGATCCCCAAGTCCCTTTCAGCCATGGTGCTAGTGAGCGTAGCACTGCTGAGCCTATAAGCATGCTGTGGGTTTTTCTTCCCAAGGTGGAGTACCTTGCATTTTTCGGTGTTGAACGCCATCAGGTTTTCATCCACCGGTGTGGTAAAGTCTCCTGTTTGGAACGGTTCATTTGGAACATAGCACTCCTGTTTGTTTATTTTTCTTTTTATGCTCCTATTTTTTAGAACTGTTTACTAAAACAAACAAACAAAACCCAAAACTAGATCAGGGTGAAGGGAGGGGAAGTTTTGGGTTTTGTTTTTTGCCACTCACAGGGAATGGGGCTGCACCAGCTGAGCGCTGAGCTTGGACCTGTCCCTTGCGAGCAGCACATGCCCAACCCCCAGGTGCTCGACCCACAGTGAGGGCATGCAGGAGTCAGTATAAGTTAAGCACTGAGCCCAGCATCATTTGCAGGGGATGGTGATACAGTGTTTAAGTCGAGGTTGAATTTTAAGTGTTAAAAATCAGGCTTCAAAACTCAACTTATACACCATAAAATACAGTAATATAGTACTAGGCCCCTAGCATATTAGTAAAGGTTCTTGTTTCTCTTTAACTAGAGAAAATGTGTTGTGTTACGTATGAAGATGCACCACATCATCTGCACCCCCTTTTCAAAATCCTAGATCCACCCATGACTGTTAAGCTTGGTAAGTATTCACTTTAAATCCTTTCAAATATAATGCCCCCATCCTAAATATGGTCTTTACTCACTGGAGAGTCTTATACTGTAAAGAAGGGCTATTTGTCTAAATAATGGACTTGTAGTCATAAATTACAGTCTTCAGCAAGGTCCCATTGAAGTCAGTGGGATACCACTCAAAAGTGCCAAGCTCATTCCCATGCCATGTAAGTGGCTCCAGGCTCAGCGCTCAGCTGGTGTGGCTGGGCTTGGTGCTCAGCAGTGCCTCTTACAACAGATTGGGCTGGGGTCAGTGCTCAGCTGGTGTGGCCCCATCCCCCATGTGCAGTGCTGCCTGGCCTGCACCAGCCAAGCCCTGAGCCTAGCCCCATCTGCTGTGAGTGGTGCTGCTGGGTGCTGAGCCTGGCCACACTACCCAAGTGCCTAGCCTGGTGCCACTTGCAGGGGGTGGGGCTGTGCTCAGTGCTTGGCAGTGCCACTTGCAGCAGACAGACAGGGTCAGGCTTGGCATTCGGCTGGAGTGACCCCATCCACTGTGAGTGGTGCTGGGCTCAGTGCTTGGCTGGCACAGCCCAGGCAGCACTGCTCATAGAGGATGAGGCCATTCCAGGTGAGCGCCAAGCTCAGCCCCATCCCCTGCGAGCAGTGCTGTGGCACGTATCCATTCCTCAGGTGCCTGGCCTGCAGCAAGGGCATGCAGGGGCCAGTATAATTCGACCCCATATTTCTTATCCAAAAATTTAGGTCAACTTATACACCGGATCTAGAAAATTCCTAAGTTTTTGGATCAGAAAAATGGGGTCAATTTATACACTGTGTTGACCTATAAACCATGAAATACAGTTTTTAGCACCCATGGAGCAAAGAGAGATTAGTAGGAATCAGATATACTACAATGAGCCATAAAGCCAATTGACTTCCTCCATGCTGAATAGAAATGCCACTGCCCTTCCCAGGCAGTTAGTTTAAAGTTTGAGTGGAGCAGGAATGAAGAGGGGGTGGGTGGTACAACTACACCCTCTCTGGATCCATCCCTGTTAAAAGTAAACTATTTAGAGCCAAAATATTTGTTAGGAGGCATCTATATATTAGATAAATGTTTTTGCAATGTGGAAACATAAAGAACAAAAAAGAGTGAAGGGTGTATTCCTAATATTTTTCCAGGGTTAAGAGAAGATCTGTATAAGTGATAAATGTGCATTTCTTTCTTTCAAAACTTAAACATTTTTTGTGAAAGATTGTTTTATAATATACCTTGGTTGAATTACGGGTGAAAAGACTGCAAAAATACTGTTTTCCTTTTGTGTAACTGAAGTTGTGATTTAAATCAGTTTCATGATATGTTTGTTTTCAGAGGCTAGTGTTCTAGATGGGCTACAGAGACCCAGTTTTAGTACCCTTCTTTGCTACTGACTTCCTGTCTGACCTTTGTAAAGTTGTTTAATCTTTCTGTACCTTAGTCCCCCCAACTGTTAAAGGGAAATAATTGCACTTTCCTACCTTACTTATCCTTATTCATATAAGGATGAATAGATGCATTTAAGATTGTGAGGTGCTCATATACTATTGTAACAGGTACTGTATAAATACTTAAGATTGATGGATTGTTTAGGAGATGAAGAAGCATGATTGAGAATAACCTTCCACAAGAACAATATGCTTTAGTATTTAACATTCACGGTTGCTTTCAGCTGTAGCAGGACTGCAAGCCAGGCATGTAGTTAACAGCATTAGCTCAGTGACACTTTTCTTACATTCAAAAAAGTGTTCTTCATTAAACAGTGATCTGCCTACATGCTAATGGGTTTAGAGCATAATCCACATAAATCACTCACTGCATTTCACTATGAAGATAAGCCACCTCAGAAATGACACCCAAGGAACGTAATATGCTTTAACCAAGCTGTCAGGTGGAAGTTGAATATTTGTCACTGAATGAGATATGACAGACTTATTTTTTCACTGTTTTCCTCAGTAAACTCTATGAATGAATTTCACATGATGGGTATAATGTTACCATCAGCAACCATTCTCTCCTCTTGCAGAGAACCATGTAAATCAAACCAAATATAAACAATCAAGAGCTTTTGAAAATGTTGTACATCTAGTACAGCCAGGTATAACAGCAGTAGTACATTAGGGGCATGTTTACATGAAATGCTTAACTTCGCATTAGCATAGTTTACTGTGAAGTAAGCATGTGCATCTACATGTGCATTTGCTTACTACACAGTAAACCTCCCGAATCCTGAGTAAATTAACTGAAAAAAATCACTGAGTAACAGCACTGTAGCACTCGTGTGGACACCTGAGCGGGAACAATATCTGCTCCCAATCAGCTGTCCACCAGGGGGCTGGAGACAGCTCTCTGCCTCCAGCAGTTGCCTGCTGCTGGGGTGGGCTCTGCCACAGGAACCTGGGTAGGGACTATGTCCCCATGCCCTGTCAGTAGGGAGCCACAAGCCCCTTGCTCTGAGATTGCGATCAGGGAGCAGGGACTGGGAGATCCCTATCTTCCAGTCCCCTCTCCACCATCGCAGTCAGGAAGCAGGGATACCCTTATCTCCCCACAGTGGACCTGCAGTCATGAAGCCAGTGCTAGGAGCTCCCTGCTGGTGGGGGCTGAGAAGCCTATTCCTCCCTCAGCTCCACGCTTGTGGAACTGGGGATGACACTGCTCTGTAAAGGAAGTCTTGTGTTGTCCTGGGGCAACCCAGACCCAAGCATTCCCCCACATGCCCTGAGGCATCTGCCAGGTGCTGAGAGCCATTGTAGGGCTCATCATCACCTGCAGATGCAACCTCTGGACTCTAGGTGGTGCCAGATATACCAGCTACTTGTTCTCTTTCTGGGCTGGACTCCAGACCCTGGTGGAGCCTGGCTTCCAGATCTCAGCCCTGTCTGGGGGATGGGCCCATGGGGAGTATGTCACCCACTGTCTGCCCCACCTGGGGAACAGGTGTGTGTGGGTGGGACATGCTTTTGATGTGTAGGGTCTCTGCTTTTCATTGGGATGGGCCAGGGGTCCACAGCCTGCAGGGCATTTTGGCAGCCATCTCCCCAGGAAGTGTGGGGCTTTGCTGGGTCCCTAATATAAGCATCTTTGGGCATTGCTTGGCCAACCTAGTAAGGAGGGCTTTAAACTAGGTTCCACAAGGTATGGTGATCAAAACCCTCCAGCAACAGAGCACATAGTCCAAAGAGACAGTACTTGAAGAATGAGTTTAACTCTGAGAATCAGCCAGAGACCTACACGACTGCAACAAGTGGTGCTAAAGGGAAGCAAGTAGGTCAAAATGGAAAATATGCCTGATGCATGTATAAAAATGTGAGAAGTATGGAGAATAAACATGATAAGCTGAAAGATCAAGCCTGTGAAAAGGACTATGATATGATTGTCATCACAGAGACCTGGTAGGCAGTTTTTATGACCAGAATGTCAACATTGAGGGATACACTCTGTTTTGGAAGAACAGGTTGGGGAGAAAAGATGGTGGTGTTGTCTTGTGTGTCAAAAAATGCATACACTTGTTCCCTGGTTCTGGAGGAGGAAGATGGCAAAGCATAATGGATTTGGGTGAAAATGAAAAGTGGGGATTTATTATAGGCCACCAAATCAGGAAGAGGAGATGGCTGAGGCACTCTTCAAGCAGGTGACAAATCTATCCAAAAGCTAGGATGTGCTACTGATGAGAGAATTCAGTTGTCCAGACATATGCTGGAAGAACAATGCATCCAAACATAAAATGTCAAGCCAGTTCCTAACTTGTATGAAGGACAACTTTCTCTTCTAGAAAGTGGAGGATACAACTAGGGGAGCCTCTATTTTGGATCTTGTCCTGACCAACTGGGAAGAATTGGTGGAGGATGTGAAAGTGATGGGTAACTTGTGAGGAAGTGATCACGATACAGTAGAGATCAAGATCCTAAGATGGGGAAAGCATGAGGTCATCAAAATTAGGACACTAAATTTCAAAAAGGCAGACTTCATGCAAATCAAGGAGTAAATAAGCCTGGTGTCATGGGAAGATAAATTGAAGAATAAATGTGCCCTGGAAGGCTGGGGGATTCTGAAGGGCACAGTACTGGAAGCCCAAAATGAAACTGTCCTGACATGATGGAAGCAGAAGAAGAATGGCAAGAGACCAATGTGCCAGCAGAAGGAACTTTTAAAATGCCTCAAATACAAAAGGAAACATACAGGCAGTGGAAGAATATGTCACCAAGGAAGAGTAGCAGGAAATAGCAAGAACCTTCAGGGACAAAATCAGGAAGGCAAAGATAAAGAACAGGCTTCACTTAGCAAAGGAGGTTAAGGATAACAAGAACAAGTTCTATAAGTATGTTGCCAGAAAAGAAGGAGCAAGGAAGCTGTGGGTCCTCCTTTAATAAGACAGAGGGAACTAACGGAAGGTGCAAAGAAGGCAGAGCTACTCAACAGCTACATCAGGAAAAGATTAAGCTTCAGCCAGACCCCTAAGGAGAATTATCTGGATAAGAAAAGGGGCAAGCTGAGGGAGGAGGTAAAAAAAGAGATGGTCAGAGAGCTTTTGTTGGGTCTAAATGAATTAAAGTCAACAGGACTGGATGAACTACATCCCAGGGATGAAGGAACCAGTAAAGGAGATCTTTGAGCCCATGGCAGTGATTTTCATGAAGTCATGGGAGATAGGCCAGGTATCAGAGGACTTGAAAAGGGCCAACGTACTGCCCCTCTTTCAAAAAGGAGGACTTGGGGAACTACAAACCAGTTAGCCTCACCTCACTACCTGGGAAGTTACTGGAGCAAATCTAAAGGAAGGCCATTTGCAAGCATCTGGAGGAGGAAAGGCTGATTACAAGCAACAAGCATGGATTTATGGAAAACAAATTGTCGAATAAACTTGATCTTCTTTGACAAAGTAACTACTTGGGTGCATGAAGGGAATGCTGTGAATATAGGGGGACAGCAGGAAATAGGGGATATGATATTTACTAGGGTGCCCATCGGGGTAACTAGAAACAGTAGCCACAAACTAAAGGAGAGCAAATTTAGATTGGACATCAGGAAAAATTCTTCACAGTGAGGGTTGCCAAAATATGGAATACACTTCCAAGGGAGGTGGTGCTGTCCCCTTCCTTGGAGGTATTTAAGAGAATATTGGACAAACACCTGGTTGGGGTCATCTGACCCCAGCACTCTTTCCTGCCTAGGGCAGGAGGTCAGACTTAATGATCTAATAGGTCCCTTCTGACCCTAAAATCTAGAAATCTATGAAATAATGTGTCTGGACTTCAGCAAGGTTTTTGACAAGGTCCCGCATGACGTTGTCATAAACAAATTGGAAAATTAATGTGCTAGATAAGGTGGATAGGTAACTGGCTCAATTGCTGCAAACAAAGGGTAAATTTTAATGGGTCCATGTCAGAATGGCATGAGGTTTGAATGGAATCCCACATGGGTCTGTCTTGGGCCCAGTGCTGTTCAACACACTTACTAATGATTTGGATGCTTGCATAGAAAGTTCCTTGAGCAAGTTTGCAAACAACACACAACTGGGAAGGACTGTGAACACATTGGAGGAAAGGAGAGCAATTCAGAAGGATCCTGATAGATTGAAAAGTTGGGCTAGAGCTGACAGGATGAAGTTCAATGAGAACAAATGCAAGGTGCTACAAAAATACAAACATAAAGTGGGTGACACGTAGATTGATGGCAGCACTGTGGAAAAGGACTTAGGAGTCTTAGTAGATCACAGATTCAATATGAGTCTACAGTGTGATGCAGCCTCACAAAACATGAATGTACTTTTGGGATGCATCAATTGAAGCATTAGGTACAAGAACCAGGAGTTGATATTGCCTTTCTTCTCAGCACTAATTAGGCCTTATCTGGAGTATTATGTGCAGTTCTGGACTCCACATTTTAAAAAAGATGTGGTGAAGTTAGAGGAGGTTCAGAGGCAGGCAACAAAGATGATAAAGAGCATGGAAGGCAAGTCATAGGAGAAGAGAGTGAAGGAGCTAAGCATGTTTACCTTGTGGAAAAGTAGCTTAGGAGGGCTCATGATAGCAGTCATCAAATACCTGAAAAGCTGCCCTAAAGAAGAGGCTACAGAGAAGAGGATGCGGACCAAAGGCTTAAAGTTTCAGGAAAGTAGGTTTAGACTGGATATCTGGAAAAAACATCTTCACTGTTAAAATAGTTAGGCAGTGGAATAGCTTGCCTAGGGAAGTTATGGGCTCTCGATCACTGGAGGTGTTCATGATCTAGATAGCTATGTCTATATTCAACTATGGGTATTTCCCATAGTATGGTTCTGGGCTTGGACAGTTGCCCCTCCCCAGCTTCCCTGCTACATGTGTCAGGCTGTTTGCAAGGCCTCCTCAGAGGCATTGAGTGTTGGACACAGCCAAAGGTGAAGACTTTGACTGAGGTGTGCCAATCCTTCTGCTGGGACCAAAGCTGGAGGTTTCTGGCTAGGGGATCATGCCCCTCCAACAAGGACCAGACCAATCTCCATATTTGGAGTCAGGAAGGAATTTTATCCCATGGTCAGACTGGTATGGACTGTAGGGGATTTTGCCTTCCGTTTTAGTGGGGATGTGTGGTGTGGTCTTCTACCTAGGATGTTTTGAGCATATATTGACAACACTTCATAGAAGCAGGATATTGGCTGCTGTGGTTTCCTTGTTTTGCCTGTAGCAGGTTAGGGTCTTAGGTCTGTGTTGTGTTAGGGTTGATGGCAGTCTTATGTAGATTTTAGATTATGGTTGTATGGGATTGATTTGGATATGGATGGTCCTGGCTTAGGCAATGGGCCTGAACTAGATGAACTGGAATTCACCATCCAGCACAAGTTGGCAAAGGCATGCAGTAAGGCAGCGGCCCTGGATTTTAGGAGGGCAAATTTCAACGAGCTAAGGAGGATAGTTGGGGAAGTGCTGAGGTCTCAGAGGGGCAGGGAGACAGGTGTCCAAGGAGAGTGGTTGCTTCTCAAGGAGATGATCCTCCAAGCCCAAAGGAAGGTAATCCCAACAAGGATCAAAGGGAGCAGGAGGGCGCATAAGCCCCCATGGCTCACCAAAAGCATCCGGGAATGTCTCCTTGCTAAAACGGTGGCTTACACCCAATGGAAAGAAGGGGTCATCACCAGGGAGGGCTATTCTGCAGTTGCTCGGGGATGTAGGGGGATAGTTAGGAAGGCTAAGGCAGAGATGAAACTGGGATTAGCTTCCTAGATTAAGGACAATAAGAAGTCTTTTTTTAAATACATAGGGGGTAAAAAGAAGGTCCCAGGTA